CCGCTCCTGGTCTTTCGTCCCGTGGCAACCGCCACACCTCGCAGCCGAAGCTCGCGATAACCCCTGGCGGGTGAAATGTGCCTTCCGCAGCGCGATTCCGTTCGACAACAAATGACCACGGCTGGTTACTCTCCAGCCGGCTCGCGAGGGGTCACGTGACATACCTCCCATGCCTGCGGCGTCCTCTCATCCCGAAACGTAGGCCTGCTTGCAATTTAGAGCCAGCTGCACCGCAATGGACTCACCCATCATCTCCCTCTGCGCCAGTTGTCACCCGCGTTCCGAGACACTCCCACCCCGGCACTTGAGAAGGGCCCGCCTTTGGTGGCCTTCTCCTTGCAGCCAAAGGACTGCCATTGCTCCCTCGCTAGCCTTCCTACATGTGTGGTCCATCTGGTCCATTGTCACGACGTTTACATAAGAAACCCCTGAAGAAAGCGCGAACACCGGCGCTATCGTTTGTAACATTATGGGCCTGCTTGCTACCCGCGAAGCCAAGCTGCAGCCACGCACGTTTTAAGTATCGTTGGCAGCAGTTCGCGCTTTAGTTCTTGTAAGAAGGTGCTGTAACGGAGCGCGACACTGTAATGGTTTCCACCCCGTAATATAGGAGTTATAAGGCCCTGATTATTCATACCACGATAATGGTATTGTTGCGAATCTCGATAGGATAAAGTTTGGATATATCAGTTGCGATCTCTATCCAGCAGATAGCTGTTCACCGGCGTCTGACTTCTCTATCAGCGCACGTCTCTTCAGTTGTCGCTGCGTCGATCACTCGTCTAACACGCCATACTACGTGACTTGGAGTAGATATTATCAAGTCGCTACTACTGCAACAGTACGTAGGCGGTCCCACTTTCTACAACCTACACCTTTGGGCTAAACGCTCCGCGATCCTACTGAATAGCCTATTCAACCTACATCAGCTCGAACTGACTCGTTTCGACCTCCGTCAGGCATCGTCCGTCAAACATTTGTCCATCTCGTGTACGGCCTGTTCACCATGAAGCTTCCTCTCCCGTCTCCGTTTAGTTGTGAGAATCTCGCTTTACTCACTTTGCCAGTAGTTACATTTCATTACAGCGTGACTGGTAACTGGCCTCCTTATTGGATGGACGATATTGAGGGCATCTTCTCGTCTTTCCTTCGTAGCAGTAGCCCCAAGGCTGGCACGTGCGGCATATCTATTTTTCCCGTGGAAGCAATTGTAATCCTAAGTCGTCGCGTCTGAGTACCGGCTGCTGATTCATCTTCCAGTACGATAGTGAAAATCGACGAGAAGCGCGTCGGCGCGTGTCGCCTAACTTCTTTGTCGCGCCATTTTTAAATCTCAACATTTATCAGTAGCTGTCCCATGTAGCCGATCTTTGTTTAGTCATGATTGTCACGCATTGTGCCCTGTCCTCAACTGGCGCCCCACGCGCTCACCCTCGCAGTGCTATACATAAGTCAGTCTATTTCGAGACTCCTCCCCCCGACTTGTCCACTTGCATAGCAACCTTTCGTCCGGGGAGCGTCTTTTGTTCGTTTTTTACTTTCGTTCTCGCACGTGCGACCCACAATATTTCTATTTGATTTCATTTCTTTATCTGATCTCTAAGATGTGTGATACATCACATCATATGTCATTAGTCTTTCTACAATTTAATAATTTACAATTTAAGAATGTAAGAACAGCAATTTGTGAGTTACCTTGTGTTTCTGCAGATACCAGTACAATGAAAGCGTATCTTGAATGGCGTGTTGATAATTAAACGAAAGGTTCTGTTGTGTTCTTTGCACTTCATTACGTATTTTTGTATTATTTTGGTAACTTGTTTTCTGAATCACGCCATAGAAATGGGATTCGTGGTGCTAGCTCATCTTGCTTGATACAATCACAAGGCTAAAACCTTCACTCATAATTGGAATTTTAACCTGCAACCCAGGTGCAGTGCGATTACTACAGTGTTAATGTGCTCTATTTAAGACAACATTAGTTATTTTAACCGATGATGCCTTGGAAGTGTGATATTTTTCGACATTCGACATTGTCTTCCTGCCCTCATTACTTTTGGAATAAAACATCATAATAAATATTTAAAATTTTCGTCGCTAATATTTAAAATTATATGTAATCAATATGACAATTATGATCTATTTTTATTTTTGGTATATTTCCATTCTGAAAATGAAAAAACTTGATCCTTTTGGGCACTAGGCCGGCCCATACATTGGGACGTAGAGATGTGAACTGAGTATAGGCAACAAGCATTACATTGCTGTACAACGGGTCATTAAAATAAAACCAGGCGGACTGGTGTAAGGAGATCTAGGTTTTGTCTTCTTGAAATATCGAATCACTTGACAGTTTCATTCAATTGCTAGTCCGATTTCTAGAGAAGACTCAACGCAGAATAAATTTCAATACAATTAAGAAAAAGTTTATATATTTTAAAGCTAATAATACACGTGTGTAACAATATATTACAATTATTTTCAGGAAGTTTAGTTTGAAATATATTCAGTTTTGAGGTATATGTATCAAGTATTTATACGTTTTTAATATTTTCTGTTCTTGCTGAACTTTCCATAGGAACTCGCATGGCTTGTTCCTAAGAACTAATTCAGCAATTCATATGTTTATCGAATGCATAGCCTTTAAACCTTTTATGTAGGTACTACAATAAGATTAAAACGTGCTTATAGACAGGTCTGACTGAGTGAAAAAGGCAGAGTTTCAACCAAGCAACAACGCATGGGGACAAATACGAATATTTTTTTAACAATCCGAAAGGCATTGAAAGATGAAAGCATCACTTCAACTTTAATAAGTCTCAAAAGATGAAACTAACTTCTTATGTAATCAAAGATATTGCACAAACACAACACTGGATTCCGTCGTTGACCCTCTATTTGTATGCCTTTGTTAACTAATTGAATAATAAACTTTAAGTATCCAGATGACAATGAATTTGTACTTTTTAATAAACAAGTAAAAACCAATTCGTTAGTAAATTGTTCCGTGTTAAGGTAATTTTTTGAAAGCAGGTACGTTAATTTCACTTGGAATTCCTGTTGTTGTTTTAAAGAAACCGCCTATAAAAGTGAAAACCGCTGAAAGCATTGTTCGATTTAAAAAAGCA